GGGTAGACTACGAGCAGTCCCTCCTTTTCAGCGAAGTCCATCGCGTAAGCAAAATAAAATTAACCAAAACAAGACGTTGGTGAGCTGCGCGGAACTATGGGAGTGAGGCGCATTCAAAGCAAGCGTCACTTGATCTCGAACCCAGAACTTTCCGCCTGGCCGTGGAAGGTATGGGTACGAGACTAGGCGTCACCCTTATAGTCCCGCGCGTCAAGCTGACATCAATTTTTTTTTCAGTTTTTTTTTCTTCTTTTAATTTTAAAAGCGCGCCACAGACTTTGCCGGAAACGTGAGAATCCTCGTAGTTTAATAAAAAGGATGAGGAGGTGAAATTACGACAGCATGGAGTAGATGACCGTGGAAGCATGTCAAAGAACAACGGGTATCCGGGGTAACGGAGATGAAAATATTCATCGTCGCGCCTATATCACCCTTGGACCGGCGTAAGGTCTTTTTTGATCTTCCTTGGGAAAAGATCGCCGGAGAATCTACTCCATGGGTAATCCCTCAGTCACTGAATATGCGGTGGAAAGTCTCAATATCAAACAGTAATACGATGAAAGCAGTTGCTGCAATAGTGAACATTTTTTCTACAAAAAAAATGGTGAAGTATAATCCTCGGAATCAGGGGTTCCTACAGCCCCAGCCCAGTCGGAGGAGGGACTGAAACAGGGGGAACTCGCTGACCCCGTGATAAAGAGGAAGAAGAATAACCTGGCGTAGAACAATAATAAAATAATTATTGCTCACCGTTTTAAAATTACCGCCAACAAAAGTATACCAATTAAAATCAGAACTGTCAATCCACCTGCCACGCTTCCGGCTATTATTTCATCAGGCACACCTGAGGAAGATAGAAGAATATAGGAAAATGATCGTAACCCTAACAAACTTTGATTTTTTAATCAATTCTCCTTGTCAGTATCAAAGGAAATATACAGAGAGGGGTATGGAGAATATAGATATTGATGTTAGGGCGTAAGGGGGTAAAATAAAATAGAAAACGCTCACATTATCTCTTTTACAGAGTTCTGCCACAAAATGATGAAAAATAAAATAATACTAACAAGAACAGTCATCTGTTAAAAGCATTGATATAACGTCACCCAATCAGGACTTAAATTTGTCTTAATCATCGGATAATCTCAAAAACAGATGGTTACGTTTGACAGAAAAGTAATTTTTCGCCATTTCAAAACTAAATCTGTCTAATCGAATTTCCAAAAATTTCATTTTTCTCTTAAGAGGTTACAAATTCCACTCTACTTCCGGCCAATTGATATTTGTCCACTTCAAAACAGTGGAGTTTTCGCGTCGAAGTTTCATCAATTTGTCGAATGTGAATTCTTCAGCTAATGGACTTATGAGGTCGAATGAAGAAATCTGAAAGAAATTCCCGGAAAGAAGATAATTCCGGAACCCTTTTTCTATGAAAATCGTTGCTGATTTAACTTTCCGTAAATGAGGTCTTTCAACAAGATGACGTACAGAATCCTATTTCCCAGAGTAAACAAATCTTTAATAACTGTACTGTAAAGATTGTTCGACACACGGACTACACACACAATACAATGACAAATTCTTACCTTCACGATGTTGCTTTGCAGAGTCCTGAATCTTTGACTCATGATAAATAGATGAAGAAGGAGTTATTGTAGAACTTTTTGATATCGTTTTCCCGTCGAAATATAAAGCATCGACGGGATGAGTTTTTGTCATCGAGATATACTCTCCCATCGACTGTGACAGTGACGTTCGAATCGGCACATTGCTTGTTTCCTTTCTTAACGCCTCTCGTCTTGTGGTGTCAAGAATAAAACTAGTAGGACTTGGGCTCAATGTCATGTTTACTCAACTTGTCCTTAACAGGCAGTGAAGATCACTTTAAGACTGCCGTTCAGAAGAGTCCTAAAGTGAGTTGTCTTTTTATCTTCTTACGCTCCAAGACTTGCTCAATTGCGTCCGCTCTTTAGAACTGACAACTGCTCTTTCTTCTCTGTTTGGTTTGGCAGCATTTCCAAAATAAATCCCTCTCAAAAAATGATCATTTGAGTACCAAAACTTGCGTTCAGGCGACGTGGTATCCGGGCCTTGAAATCCGCACAACGTATATGAGATTAAAAACAACGGGAAACCTGAAATGTCCAAGTTACTTCAATGTTTAAACACGTATTGACCTCGCATGCAGTAGTTGCTCAATGCTTAGCGAAGAATTTAGATAAGAAATGCGTAAGTTAAGCTATCTAATCTCTCCTCTGACGGCCAAGTTAATTAACTGTCCTAAAATGTCAACAAAAACATGCCTAAAACAATCCAATTCAACAAACCATTCACTTGATTATTAAAAGTGTAGGTGATGATTAATTTGCGCACGCCAGTTAAGATGTGAAGGTGTGAAAAAACTGCCAACAGCTTCTACATTCAGCTTATGTTTTCTTCTTTCATACGGTCAAATCTTTTTCTACATTATCCGTTCTCTTTCTTTCTTCTCCAATCTTTTTGGCCTTTATGCCCGGATCAATTTTCACATCACGCGAAAATTTTGTTTATAGACCTCCCTTAAATTCATTATGCGGAAAAAAACAAACAGTACCTGAAAACAATTTATGGGAAAAAGAAATCGCAAACTTTTGATTGCTCAATTGAAAGTTTGATTTAGGGAAAGACAAAAGGAAATAATTTCAATAATGCAATCATTTTAATGCAACGTTTACATTTCTGCTCAGTTTCACAATCATAGCTTTTTTATTTGACAGAAGTTTTCGATCTTCAAAATAAACATGTCTGCTGTCTGCTGTATCGGGGTAAACATCATTCAGGTTGGCTAGTGTTCTAAAATTGCTTAAGATTCTTTCCCTTTCTTCATTGGAAAACCGCGTGCGCGAAGAGGTCTTACAAACCAAAATCAAGAGATTATAACCTGCTAAAATGTAAAAAGGCAAATTTCTAGTTTCTCTGTACAATTTAACGCTCCCTCTCTTATCACAGTGGAAATGGAGTCTGGCGCCGTTCGACGCGTAAAACATATCTTCTCGCAGAATATTTTTCAGACAACAGTAAATTCAATTTGTAAAGGATCTTTTCCTTTATGTCGTTTAATCAAAAAGCTCACGACACGGCATCCCAAACTTAAGATCTAGAAGTAGAGCCTGGCGCGAGAAGAAAACCATGAATAGGCCATTTTGGAGTTGTGTACTTAGTTGCCAAGCCTTTTATTTGAAGTGAGGCTGAAGGTGACCTTTTAATGATAGAGACCAATATCTAGCCAGCATGATAACAAACTAATTTACATTTGAAAAGCAGTACGGTTTGTATCATAACAAGGTCACCTTTAGCCTCACTCCTGTTCAAAGGCTTGGCAACCAAGCACGCGTCTGTAAAATGGACTATTGAAACAGCAGTCATGAAGTGATCTAAAAGGTATCGTTTCTGAGGACGTATCAGTGTCAGTATTTGAGCAATTGCGCACCTACACCTCCCCTAACCCAACAACAGTCAACTGATAACAAGCTAGGGTCAATGTTGGGTTGGGGAAGGGTAGATAAGCAGTTGCTCAAATACTGAAATTGATTCAGGACAGTATCAACTACACTACTACAACTTTTCTCATACATGAAACACGTTGCGGCAACAAAAAAACGCGCAAAAAATTCCATAAAAAGACTTGAACTTGAACTTGAACTTTAAAAACATAATTGCAGCAGTACATAACTAGAGATCAGTTTCGTTAACTGAGATTGATTGGATGGAGAAAGGAAGGAGCTAAAAAAAACTGACTGGCAGAAAATCTCTTTCGCTTTTAAATTTCAAGTAGTAATTTTTCTCTTCCTCTCCTCCCTTTGTATTCTTTTTGTATTCACATGCGGCGCGCGTGATTTCACAGTCTGTGGAATTTTTAGTCAATCACGACAAAGAACTCTAACCTTGACACTGGAAAACTGACGTGGACATTTTTCGCGTACTTTAGTTTGTTTTCGCGGAGTTTTAGTTTGTTGTTTTTGAGCTTTCGTTCACGTAAATTTGTTACTCCTTTGTTTGGAATTTTAAGAATTTTCGGAGGTTTTGTTTTAGGCTAATTTTGTGGCTCATTTAACAAGTTCAATGCATATTTTCTACGGAGTTTGGACTCTTATCTCTTTTTTCGTACATGGAATTTTTATAGGAATGAACTTGAAAAAGGAGAAGACACTTTCGGCGAAACCCACGCACTCGTTATTAGGTCTCCGGAATTGAGAGCAACAATACTGACACTGTAAGATAAGGACACAAATGGAATACAGATTATTTAGAAACCGATTATGTCTGTAATGACGTGTTGGCCAGTAAATCTGCAAAGATCTCAGATCTCAGTGTGCTCAGCTTTTTCTTGAAAATTTCAAGCTTTAGCGTGAAGATGCAACCAAACTTTAAATATCACTTCAGCTGAATTTTTTGCATCCTTTGTTATCAGGCCATTGATCTCAAGGAGCTCTCAAATCGAATAAGGATATCGATTAATTAGAATAAAAGATGATCTTACCTAGGCTCGTGTTGAGCACTTTGTTTCCTGGCGGCCATGTTAAAAACAGTTACCGTTTGAGGTCTGGAACGAGCTGCGTGAGGGTCTGGGGGTTAGAAATCTTCGTACACCGCTCACACCGCTCGCGATCCCTCGGAGCTACTCGGACCTCTTTCTCAGTGCAATTTGCGACGCCTGTAGTAATTTTTTTTTAGCGGATCTCTATTTGCTCGGGCAACGAACTGTGCTTAAAAAAATTGCAAGGGTCTACCTATAGTCTGAAGCATACACCATACATGGCATAATAGTTTGGAAAAGCGCAAAGGGAATATTTTCGAATTTTCTCAAACCCTTTTTTTATCTTCCCTCTTCAGTTTTTAAAAACTGAAAAACATTGTCACAAACGCAACGAAAGCCTTTCCGTTTGGGTTGGCCATCCAGTCCTGGGAAACACAGCTGAAGGCCAGGCTGCTTAACTCTAAGGCCTGGTTACTAAAGTCCATCATGGCTGCCAAGTTGTGATCGTAGGAAAAGCGTATCACAAATTAACCAAAGTCATATAACTTCATATACGTCTGCTTATGACATAATGGGTTCGTCTAAAAAGCATAAGGAAAAGGATAAGGACAGAGATCGCGAAAGAAGAAGAGAGAAAGACCGAAAACACCGCGATAGAGACAAGGAGCGCGAGAAGGACGGGGACAGAGATAAAAGAAGGCATGATGAACGGCATCGAGAGAAGCGAGCTCATGGATCGGATGAAGAAACAGAAAGAATTGAGAAGAAAAAGTCTAAGAGAGAAGAGTATGATGACCTCTATGAGTACGCCATAGAAGAATCGGCTCGCGAGGATCGAAGTGAGTGGCATCGATGACTTTTGCATGTGTTTGATGAAGATGGATATGTATGTCACTGTTTTGAAAATAGAGAGAAAAGTTTAGAATGCCAAATAAATCTGAATATGTTGTTTGCCCTTGCTAATGAACTGAAGCCTTGACATTCTCTCACAGGCAGCGACGCACAGCCCAAGCAAGAGGGAGGAGACATTTCTTTAAGCATTGAGGAGACTAAGTATGTGCATTGTAGTTATAGTTTCATGTTTACTTATAGTCATTTTTCCACATAAAAACTTGCTTGCTTGTAAAAAGAAATTTATCCAAACCTTTTTACAATAAACATTGTTTTTATCCGTTATATTTTAATTCTGTAATATTTATACTATTTACTATTGCTTTACCTTTAGTAAACTGAGAATCAAACTTGGACTAAAGCCTCTTGAAGGTACTGACTCATCTGGAACACAAGAGGGTAAGGATGGCGTGGAACAGTAACCATTAAACACTTGTTGGTTTGCAAACTACACTGCTCATCACCAAAAGACTATTTTTTAATGCACATTTGAACTCTCTCAAACTCGTCTCCCTTGGAACGCATCAATGTCACAGTGCTATGTACATTGCTGTGTTACCTATTAATGTATGTAACACAACACATGTAACACGACTACAGCATAAAGAAATGCATTGCAAAAACAGGAAGCATAGAAGGTCTTGAACTATTGTGCAATGACATAAAACTTTTACCTCAACCCAAGCATTTATTTTAGTGGTAAAAGAGTGACAGTTGTCTTATTGCGATAATTTTTCTGGACAGAAAATGCAACTTCTAAGAAAGAGGATGTTCATGTGCCAGCAATCAACATGGCTGACCAGAAAGAAACTGAAAAGGTGTGCTCCACATGAATTTTTTTTTTTTGTAGCATAACATAATTATACATAATTTTTTAGCATATTATTTATGAAACATTATTGATTAACTGAATGTTAAAAATCATTTAATTTATAAAGAAGTAGTTAATTTACAAATCGAATTAAAGACAATTAGAAAATTTAATCTGTCTTCAGTGAGGACAGAGGGCCTCAGGCTTTTTTGATCATGTTGCTTCTTGAAAAAAAGAAAAAACATGAAATTCTTCAGAACTACTTGAATTTTTTTTCTCAAACCAATACCACTTATTTTAATTACTGGAGAAATTGATTACCAAAAAAAAATCCAATGTGGTTGATTTTGCACATAGGCAATTGACCAGCTGTTAGAAACCTAGAAAAGTGTGTAACATTTAACTCCCAAGATCCATCTGATAATTCTCCCTACTGACTGCTATATATTTCATGTAAATTAGACCAGAGAATTTGGTGTTGTATCACAATAGCACCCCTCAAGCTGATAAGCTCATCTGTTCTCTGAACCTGTTTACAAAATAACTTATTGGAATTGTGATGGGAAATTACATGTTGATAACTTCTGGAAGAGAAAGACAAAAATGCTTATTTGTTAAGACTTACATAAGTTACAAATGAAAACTAAGATTATGGAACTTCTTTAGTTTAAAAGGAAACTGGAAGAAATGAAGGAAAAGAGAAGAATTAACAAAAAACTAGGGTAAGTCATGAATATATCTTGCCAAGTAGATTTTTTCCAGACTCCCGTATCACTTCCTTTAATGTTTTACACCCTAACATCAGTATGCATATTCTCCATACTGTTCTCTATACCTTTCCCAAGGTGCTTACAAGGAGAATTTTTTTTACAATCAAGAGTGTCTTCAGTTAGCAATCATTTCCTTTTTTCTCATGACTTCAATGTTTGACTCAAGGGTGATATTTTAAGGAGAAATCAGATGCAAATCACTCAAAAGGATTAACCATAACATGGGCTCTCAAAGTTGAGGTCCCAACACTAGGATGAATGATTATCTATAATTGTCAAATGTGATTTTAGTTAATAATAGTTTTATTAAATGGAGAGGTCATAAGGAATGATTTTTAGATACTTCACAAGCACTGCTTCTATAAACTACTTCTTTCTTCTGTTTGGAATAGAAAAGTGAAAAGCTTGGGTACTGCCGACAGTGATGATGATGATGACAGTGCCATGTCATGGGTTTTAAAGAGTAGGAAAAAAGAGAATGAAAAGGTTTTGGCTGAGAAAAGGGTTAGTTTTATTCCAGTGATTATACAATTGTTTTTTTTAATTTGCCCAGAATTTGTTAAAAATTTTTTCCCAGTTTGCTGTGTAGCCATTAAGAAATTTTCCATAGCCATGCCCTCAATCACTGCTTTATAAAGCTATTTTCAATGCTTCTCTGAAATGGGCTTAACTTAGAATTTAGGTAACTTAAATAACAGAACATTATATAACTCAAAAATGATGCTGTGGTATTGGACAACAAAACAGTTTCATGTTGCAAGGGGTTACATGTATGTGAACGTGTGAAAAAGATTACACATAGCATTTTCTTCTAGGCTTCAAGAAATGTAACTTGTGAGCAGGTCCTTATTATTAGTGTTGCAATACCGATATTTCCACCCAGGGGAAGTGGGGGAGAGAGGGGGGGCAGCTGGTATCTGTGCTAGCTGGCTTGTAATGCTGAAGGCCTTGTTCTTTCCTGTGGAAAAAAAACAATTGTGCTGAAGTGCTGAAAGTGGAGACCTGCTGGCAGGCTACAAGAAATGAAGTTGCTTCGAGGGATATAGATGCAGTGTGATTCTATGAAATATTGGAATTTCATGGAGGACCTGTTACTAAATTGCAATCACAAACTTTTTAATGTATTTGACTGTGTAAATTTTGGTTTTCAACAGGCACAATTGCTGGAAGAAATGGATGAAGAATTTGGGATAAGTGATTTGATGGAGGAAGAATTTCGATCTCTGTCAAAATCAAAGAAGCCAGTATGTAGTCAGTCTCTGCCCAAAGTTTCTATAGAAATGGAAAATTTGATTTTTTTTAACCGTCCAACTTCCACGATCTGGTTGTTAATTCTCCCCTCTAGCTGCTACACAATTTCTTGAAAATTGTGTGCAATTACAAGAATTTGGTTTTAGATCAAGGTAACAACTTCTACCCGATAAGTTTGAGTATTTGCACTACCTGAGTGGAGGATAAAGCACAGAGTGATATTATAGTGAGAAGTTACATGTTAATCACTTTCAGGAGTTCAACACAGGGTATTATCATGGATTCCCATTTTCCTCTCATTATTGACAAACTTTCAAAACTTTTCTCTGTTCAAAATTGTTTCGAAAAATGTATAGAATACTAATGATTTGTTATTCCATTGATAAAAAAATTTAAAAATTAAAGTGTCCACTACACTATTTTATAAATTAAGCATTTTTTTTCGAGAAATTTCTGAGTGTGGCATTCTCTTTTTGTAGACATACTCAAGCCAGGATCTTAGAGGCATAAAAGTTGAACATTCACAAGAACATTTTACGGTTTGTTCAAGCCAGATATTTAATTTGTAATTATATAAATGAAAAAATTACGTGCAGCTGATTGGCTGAAAACAAGTGCATTTTTCATGTAATATGAATGGGAAGTTGTAACACAAGTGCAAATTACAAATGGCTTGTGCACTGTTAAAATTTTGTCTGTCTTGACTTTCTGTGTTGCTTTTTTCATGGAAATTATTAACAAGTATTAACTTGAATTCTCATGCAAATAAGTACTTGTAATTTTTCAAAGACTACAAGTTACACTAAGGCTTGTGCAACTTTTGTTGTCTTTGAAAATGTCAAACAAGTGCCCCCCCTTGAATAAGCACCCACCTTTGTACCTCACTGTTTCATATTGTTTCATATAACTACATGTAGGGATACATGGAAAAACCATTTGTTATTGCCACTTTGTTAATCCTTTCACTCCCAAGATCTAATTAGTAATTCTCCTTACTATCTTCAATACAATTCTTATCATGTTAGTTCAGAGAATTTGGTATTGGATCAACTAATAATCCCATAGTTGACATTCTTCTTTATTCTCATCACCTGCCTGCTTGATATTATAAGGAGAAATTCTGTCTTGGTCACTTGTGGGAGTGAAAGGGTTAAGCTTTATCTCTTTAAGCTTTACCAGTATAAGAGAATAATCACCACCCACTGAAATAGATGCCCTCCTTCCAATAAGCAACCTTCTTTTTAGCCAAAATTTTGAATAAGTGCCCATGTGGATAATATTATCATTACATCAGTATTGTCACAAATCTCAGAGTGGATTTTCTTTCACAGGACTTACCTTAAACTTCACCTTTTTTTTCAGGAGGGTTCTACTGTGATTATGACCTTAAAAGATGCTGGTAAGTGGACCATTCTCAATATTAGACTATTTCTGAGTGTTGGATTCTCTCTTTGTAGGTTTACTTGAGCCAGAATCTCAGAGCCATGATCTAATGCTTGAAATGCCAGCTTTAGAAACTCTTTATTGAGGCCAATTTACATTGTCATTATCTGTGATACCCTCAACTGACAAAGGACCACAGTCTCTCTAAAATCAGTTCCTTTGTTTATTCTCAATGAATAACATATTGTTAGATACTGTTAGATGCTGTTAGATAATCTGATTACACACTTCCCTCTAAATAGTAGAAGTGACAATAAACTTGCTAGTTTGCTGGTGATTGTTGACGTATGAGTCACAGCACTTGAAGAAGAAATTTGTTTAGTTATGCAGCAGTTATACAATATTCAAGGGGTTTCAATAACTTTTACCATAAGTGGCTGCTGATGGTGTGCTAGCCAGCTGTTCTGCAAGACCAAACATAAGAGCCTGCTGGTAGGCTTAACAGATGGCAGTGACAGCAGATGGTGGAAGGAGGTCTTACAGATGGCAGTAGGAGGTCTTACAGGTAGCAGTAGAAGGTCTAACAGATGACAGTGAGAGGTCTACCAGACAGCAGGAGGAGGTCTTACAGTTGACCACTAGTAACCTGCTCTTATTGAAACTGCTGAGTATTTATCTTGATCTACTTTAATTTTGTGCATTTCAGGTGTCCTTGATGAAGATGAGCAAACTTTGGTAAATGTAAATATTGTGGACAGAGAAAAGGTATGTTCCTTTTAATGTGATTGATTCACATCAAACTCATCTCAGCAAATAGATCACTTTGAAGCCAACCAACAAATCATAATCCAATAGGGTTTATGTTCGTGGGTATCAATATGTTTTGAGTGTGCCTCAGAGTTATCGTAGCTAAGCTGTTAGGCAAGGGTTCAATTGAGTTGTGAGAGGGGCCTCAACATATTTAAAACCAAGAACATAAACTGTGTTACTATAAATCATCAGCACTATGAAGGGTATTAAGAAAATAGAAACTGAAAAAAAAAATGACGACAAACTGGTCTGTATAATGAAATACATTTTAGCCCACCTAAATCTTCATTTTAGCCTGCCAAATGCACTGCAATGCCAACAAAAAGATAATAATTTAAATTTATGATAGTTGACTTACAGCTAATTTTAAACAATGAAAAAAATTTATTAAAAGATTAATTGGATGGAATTCACTCAACTTTTCTCTTCTCTCTTAGGCAGATAAAAATGTTGAACTTCGGAAAAGAAAACCAGATTACAAACCGTATGATGAGCCAGAAATTGATGAATATGGCAAGGTAAGTTCATGATGTTGAGTCATCTGAACTTTGTGAAGTTGTCACCCTTAGCACTTGCATCAATGGGAGCTTATTTGCATGTACATTAAAGAATAGTGTAATGAGTTTGTTAATCTTCATTTCCTTGCCATCATGATTTTCAAGGTCAAACAGCGAGGACTTTTAGAGAAATATGATGAAGAAATTGATGGAGAGGAAAAGAAATCGTTTGTCCTTGGTAAGAATGTGACGTTTTCATGTATGTGTCTGTGGTGATACAAAAAATAGGGAAAACGTGGGCAACCAAGTTAATTGGCTAAAAAATGGTGCACGTATTCTGGACCAAAAGAATCCTGGATTACTTTGACATTTAAGGAAAATTATTTTAATAGAAGATATTAAGGCGTATGACAAGAGACTGGGTGAATATCCCCCCCTACTCTCTCCAATACCCAAATGCTTGGGATGCTTCCTTTTAGACTTGCCCTGACAGATGGTGATATATATCTTAGTAAAGGTTTTTTACAAAATGTTTTGTCAGGTTCAGGAGGAACTTATGACTCAACTAAGGAAGATGAAGTTAAAAAGGTACATTTTCTGATTAATTTTACCAACAATTTTTACATAACTGCAAATTTTGTGTGTAGAATATTACTTGCATTTCTAAATGATGGAAAGTCACAAAGCAATATATATATATTTTTTATTAAAACAGATACAAGCAAAACTTAAAGCCCAGATGGTAGGTATACAAATTCAATTTGAAAAAAAATTTTTGGTTTGTTTTAACGTGTCTTGTTAGTATGACATGATCTCACCAGCTATTACTCAAATAACGCTGTGAAAAGACCTTGGAAGATGCTTCCATGTTCCTGTAACCCTTTAACTCCCAAGATGTGATTGTTAATTCTCCCCTCAAGCTGCTACACAATTACTTTTAAATTAGTTACAAGAATTTGGTGTTAGATCATGATAACAACTTCTACCTGATAAGTTTGAGTTTTCTCATTACCTGCTTAAGGGAAAATGTATGGGAGAAGTGACATGTTCATGACTTCAAGGAGTTAGAGGGTTAAAGTTTGTCAATGTCTTGTTTATGTACTGAACAAGTCTTAAATGATTATGAATCAGTATAATTCTTATAACTATGTTGCAAGCAGTATGCTTTTATATGCTATCTTCTGCGTAATGTTGCTTGATGATTGTTGCTGTAAATAGCTTTAACGTTTTCCACGAATGTAGAATTCAGTTTTGTTCTCAATTTGTTCGCAGGTGTCGCTAGAAATGGCGCAGCCTCGACCGGTTGCAGAATACTATACCCAGGAAGAAATGGTAGAAGGTCGTTTACATAACTTTCATTCCACTTGTCTTTGAGCTAATAGCTTGTCATTCTCTAACTTATTGACTCCATCTCTACTTGAAAGGTCAAATTTAAGAAACCAAAGAAGAGAAGAAAGATTAAAAAGAGAGAAACACTCAAGGTAAATGAGAATACTTCAAATGACTGGGAATATATGAAAATCATATATATGAACTGCGTATAAAGAAGTGAATATGAAAAAGATCTTCGCCGTAATGAGCACTGTTTAAGCAAAAAATTCAGGCTTGTACGGGATTTGAACCAATGACTGTAAGCTCAGCAGGTCGAGCACTGCACTGGTATCGCAAAGCTCTTGGGTTTAAATCCCATACAGGCCTACATTTTTTTCAAGACTTGTTTTCACTACTGCTCGAGTAGTGTTCATTACTACGAAGCTCACTTTCACATTCACCTGAATACTTCGTCAAATATGTAGTTGAAGGTTGTGGTGTCGGAATTTGTTTCTTCTTTTTCTTAAAAGGAGAAAGTACGTCTTGAACCTCAGCAAATTGGAGTGTCATTTGTGATACGAGATGGCTCTGGTTTTGCCGTTTATTTGGTTACCACTTTATTTTTTAGAATGCATAGTATGTTGTTGGTTAACTGTGTTTGTGTATTTGTTTGGGTCGTAGGCAGATGACCTTGAGGCATTACCAGGACAAACAGATTTACACAGTGATCGTGGATCACGGTACCGTTTTCAAATTTTGGCGTCGAGTTAGTTTTTTATTTGTTCTAGCGTCGAAGATACGACATTTTACCTTAATATTATGGTCGCAAAGGTCGTAGCTAGGGACTTATGGAGGGAAAAGTTTTTGACAAATTTTTATTGGTTACGAGTTTTGCCGCGCTTTTAACTAACCACTTTTTTGGCCATTTCTTTCCTAACTTCCAAACAGGAGTGTGAAGTCCATACTGAAGAATACACCTAAGATGGAGGAGAGAGAAGAAACAGGCGACATGATGGAACTTGATCCTTTGGAGCCCGAAGACGATGGTCTGTTGAAAATTTTTCTCTTATACCATTTCATTGAAATTTCGCCGCAGCCAAGACGATTATAGCATTTGTTCTCAAGTAATTGAATGGGACATTCGAACCCGTCCTGGCGGAAGGTCTTACAGTTATTCTTTTGTGCGAGCGCCCTGCGCACGTTGACAAAACGGCTTTTTTATTACAGTCGTAGGATCGTCAGTAATGAACATCATGATTTTCTCGTAAACGAGTACGATGACACCCTCTCTTCCCCCCCCCCCCCCACTGTTTATAACGTTTTGTCATTTCCTTGAAATGCTACAAAGGCGTGAGAAATGTCATCGCAAATCTAAGGCAAGTTCTAGTTTCAGAGAATCACCTTAAGGAAAACTTCGCATTGGAGTTTTCCTCAAAATATTTGAACAACTTAGTTGATACTGTAAATTGACCACCGTAATGAGTTGCTAGAGCTGGCGTTTCGCGCGCCAGCACTTCGTCAGAACGAATGACAAAGTTGGCTAGGGGCTAAAGCGCGAAACGTAAGCTGTAACAGACTCTGTACGATGGCCAGTTTACCTTAAAAACTTATTTAAACCAGACTATCTTGTAATACCCACCACTGACGCAGCATAATTTTATGAGAAATTTACCCTCTTAATTCATTCCCGCATGAATCACTTTCCATTATTCTTTGCGTGTAGCAGTTCCTATGGCTGATACAGACAATGGTGCTATAGTCGAAGATGACGAGGCCCAGTTAGAATTACAACTGGCATTAGAGAGGTATAAATGCAAATATTTAACTCCTTATAACGTCGTCGTGTAGTTTCAGCGCGGTATCCAGCAAACAGCAGATGAGAATAGACCAAGAGAACAGTTAGAAGATGTTATTTTAATTTAACAACAAATTCCCATGTGTGAATAACAAAGAAATTCATAGCTTGCTGATACTTGTCGTACAATACGTGCGGAAAGTTCCTCTTTTTTCCCGCGCTTTTTACGGGCGGCACGATTTCCTGTGCTTTGTAGCGTTGACCTTGGTGGCACCGCACTTGCCATAATTTTTCCCGCCTTTTTCACTGTTTGCATGGCCAAGTTCCTGAACTGTTAGTAGGCCTACTGGTAATTTTCGGTTTCATAGTTAATCTTAAGGATAGTAGTCTCGAATTTAAAATATTTTCTTTCTTCACTTAAGGTCACGTCGACTAAAACAGAAGAAATCGACGATCGGCGCAGAAAAGGTGAGTTTCTCCAGGACAACCAACGTCTAGCGTTGACTGTTAATAGGACACATTCAGGGTATAACATACATTACAAAGTGTTCTCAGGAAAAAAATAACCGCAATCTTTAAGGATCTAAAATATGTACCGCCCAGAATGACGTACAAATGAAGCACAGCCCAAATTTATGGTTACATGTAAAGAAAAGCACTAGAAATGTCACCATGAACCGAAAGTAAAAGTCCCGCGAAAAATGTCGAAAAAGTCTCAAAGATGGTGCATACACAGATGGAACCTATGGGATGGGAAATCTTTGCACCGCCTTCTCTCTCCCTCTCCTTCCTCCCCTCATTGATTCTATGTGGACGGTTTATAAATTTCAAAATGGAATTATTTATTATACACCGGGTGGTACGTAATCTTTTATTCTCATCAGGTTGTCGAGGTTCCGTACATGGATCAGATGAGACCCCTTCTACTAATTATATTAACACGGTTTGTGAGTGTCGCAGTTGAATCGTTTGATATTTAATGGAATCCGATCTTGTTTTCGTGCCAGGTTGTCGAGGCTCTAGCCACAGTGATTAAAAAAGAAAAAGAGGAAGACGTAGACAATAAAGGTGAGTTCAAATTCTTCAAATGCGGACGCGGTCATTTTGTTAGGAGTTTCATGTTTCTGATGTCTTCAGTAGTTTGCAGTGGAAAAGAATTTCTCAGATTTTGTCTCTCAATTTCAGATTCCATCATTTTGAACTCGACTTCTGAGTTTTGCCGAACACTCGGGGAGATACCTACTCTGAGTAAGTAAATATTACTAATTTTGTTCGACTTAAGAGTAACTTTCGATTGAGGGTCGAAAAAAAATCAGGGATTGCGGTGGTTTTCCTAGAGTGCATTTCGATTGAGTGTCGTCTAACCAAATCCAGAGTGATCACAGTGGCCAATCAGGAGAAAGGAAGATACCACTAAGAGCCAATGAGAACTAGGGTATAAACAACCAAACTACCTAAAGCGCGGGAAAACGCGGGCGAGTTTTCAAACCCAATCACAGAGCGGAGTCAAGCAAAACCAAACCACTCTCGGATTACTTGCGAAACTCAATGGAAGATAAATTCAAGGTAAACTATGATACCTTGAATTCAGAACTACCAGTTTTAGAAGATTGTCGCACAAAAAATAGTCTTATTTTCGTTCTTTACTTTACTGTGTCCTGCATTTGTATTCTTATTAAAAATGTAATCTGGCGTGAAGCAGTAAAAAAACTCGAAATTCAAAGAAAGGCTAGTTTGCTAAGGTAGATAAACACTTAAGGCTCGTTTGTTTAGGTGGATAAACACTTAAAGGAGATAAATAAATCCAAAACGAAAAAATTTGAATAAGTACGGGGAGGATTAAAACGGATTGTGAAAATGTTTCATTCCTTTGTAGGTGCACCTGGCGAGGAAGCGGAGGAGGAAGAGGAAGATGATAATGAGGTGAGAAATGCTTAGAAATTCATGGGAATGTTTTTTTCTCATGCGCTGTCTCCTTCAAAGAAACGTGAGGTTCATTCAAGAAGAGCTTACGATTCTTTACTTTGCAGTGGCGAATGGATGTCGAGAGAGACGAAGAAGCTGAACCGCAGGGAGGATGGGAATGGGTGAAAACACAAGAAGAAAAGAGGAAAAAAGAACGAGAAGAGGTTTGTAGAAGAGCAATTCGCTGAAGTTGTCTTCAAGATATATTTGTTTTCTCTTGTTTGGTTTCTCAGAGTTCCCACTTGTTTATGGTTTCTGTATAATCCGTGCGGAAAGTTCCTCGTCTTTTCGCGCGCTTTTCATGAGTGGAATGATTTCCAGCGTTTAGCACAGTTGACGTTGGTGGCACCGCACCGAACATAACATTTCCCGCCTTTTTAAATGGTTGCATGTTCGAGCTGTTAAATTTCAGGGGGCCCTCGGGGATTTTCAGCGTCATGATTAACCTTAAGAAAAGTTTTGTCGTAACTGATAAAAGGAGCAGAGCGGTCTGTTCGATTCCTAATCGCTCGGTTCGAGTTCAACTGTTTTCGATAAACAGTGTTTCAAGTATGTTTGTGTTGGGGCTTGGAAGGAATGAAAGAGAGCTTTTTTTCGGGATGGGTAACTACCAAGAATTTCGAGAAACGGGAACGGGATGTTACATGAGTGTTGAGTTATTCGTTAGTTTTCGTTCCTTCTCCGTGGCCCTTTCTCGGATATCTTCGTCCTCTACTAAAACTACAACCCGGTGAATGTGCTACGGACAAATTAAAATCTATCAGTATATATGTGCAGCAATTTTCAAACAAGTCTCAAGTCATCCGGGATTTCTCTAGTTTTGCTTGGTCCTGAAAACTCGCGCTCCACCCTTTTAACCAATCAGAATCAAAACTAAAACCAATCGCGACTTAGTTTCCCGCGTTTTCCCGCGCTTTAAGCAGTTTGCTTCTTTTCATTTCGTGTTGTTTTAATATTAGTTTCTAGTGATATTTTCCTTTCCTTTGATTAGCTGTTTAGTTAACTTTGATCACGGTGTTACGAAACTGCGCCGAAATGCGCCGTACAGAATTATACTTTTCTTTTGTCTATAGGAAACGGAAAATAACATTCTTGACGCAGAACCTTTGGTTGGAAAAGGCGTAGGCGCAGCTTTGTTTCTTGCATCAAAGAAAGGTAAATAACATGCCTTTTGCTGTACGTTTTATTTTGCTGTTATATTTTTTATTGCTTGAGTTTTTACCATTTCCTCTTCCTTAATTTTGCTAAGGTTTACTGGAACAAAACTCGAAGGCAAAGATTGAAGGAAAAGCTTTGCCATTTCTCCCCTCTGTTGGTGTTGTGGACGAAGAAAAAATGCGGTAAGAAGAGAAGTTTGTATGTATCCTTTGCCCTTTACACCCTAGCATCAGTATCCATATTCTCTATACTGTTCTCTGCGTTTTTCCTTTGGTACTGACGAGGAGAATTTGTTGAACAATTTAATGAAGGATTTAGCAGTGTTACTGTAACGAGAAATTAGATACTGATAACTCTTAAAGGTTTAAGGGTCAAAAAAGAGTCCAGCATTTGTCAAAGTAGTTTAGATAAGCAATAAGGATGTTTTATGTCGTTTTAAACAAAAGCGCCTTTTAGTTTAGAATGGTGTTGTTGTAGATGCAAAGAATATTTTAGTAGAGCAGTGACGCGTATTTTCTTGTGTTTCCAGCCTTGTTGTTGCAATGTTTTCAATTGAGAGCTTAAAGTAATCACTACTTTGGATCTCTCTATCTCGCTCTATGATTGGTCTAGAAAACTCGCGTTAGTTTCTCAACCAATCAGTTGTAAGAACTCAAACTAATCAGGACTTATGCTCTCGCATTTTCCCGCGCGTTAGGTAATTTCTTTGTTTTTTCTTTGAGTTTTTATTGTCTGCTTGTGACAATTCTCTAAGCTCTGATCGGCCGTTGTGGTACGTTTGGTTTATATTTTACCATATTCAGCCGAGATGCGCTCTTTGATGTTGTTAATTGAAGTAAAAGTAATTGACGTTTTTTCTTATTGATCTGCTTGTTGCAGCGAAGAGGAGCGTGAACGCGGAGGTCGATCTTCAAGGTAAACAGTTCTTCCTGTTTTACGTCTTTACAGTCTTATGTGGCGAGCTTGAGGTAGTTGTAATGGAATATAATTCTACCAAGGCTTAGCATCATTTTTCTGAATTGTTACGTTAGTTATGTTTTTATTTTTAATCTACCCTGGCAAAATACCATTTTTATTATTTCTGTCTTACGTTTCTTACAATGTAAGCCATGAGAAATGTGGTGTTGAATCAAACAATATTTCCTACTTGATATTCTTCTTACACTGGTGTTTTGCCATCTAAGATCTGTATGGAGATTCTCCTTACTATTCCCCATGTATATCCCACAATACTGACAAGGAGAATTTGTCGAGCAATCTCATGGCCTTCATCTTTGATTTAGTGGTGACACTGTAAGGAGAAATGAAATGCTAATCACTATAAAGGGTTAAAAATAGAAAACCTTTTGATGGAATACTAATACGTAAAGGAGAAACTCTCTCTTAGGGATATTGACAGAGACCGCGACCGAGACCGAGACCGAGACCGAGACCGCGATAGGGACAGGTGAATTCTCGTCACTCTTCTCTGTTTATTCCCCTAATGTTACCCGTGAGAATTTAGAGATTCATCGCCACTGGCATCGTGTGAATTTTGTAATAAGGAATAGTGATTATTCCATTCACGAGCTGCGAAGCATCAAAAATACCAACGAGCGAGCGCAGCAAACGAGTGAGTTTTCTGATGCATCGCAACTGGTGAGTAAAATCGTTCAAACACTTTCCATGGTATGATGTTTTTATTTCATACAAACTGAGATTTTTTCAAATTTCAATTCAAAGATTGGCGGCGAACGCCTGTGAAAATACATCGTTTGTCCAATCAGAAACACGAACGATAGTACTCGATAGTACTTCAAAGTGTAAATCTCAGTATCTATAAAATAAAAAGTATGTCGATAGCGCACGAGTGGCTTTTTACCGATGCATTTCTTTCTCCAGACATGGTGGTAGTTCATCAAAGAATAAGCAAGAATACAAACCCGACGTAAAGCTGGAATACTATGATGATAATGGCCGACCTCTGACACCCAAAGAGGTGAGATTTATTCTGAACCCTTTGTTCTTTAGCGCGTTTTTCCGAGCTTTTTTCAGAAGTTGATGATCGTTTCCTTTGTTCTCATGACCTTAATGTGTTATTCAGTAGTGATGTTGTAAGGAGAAATTAGATGCTTGTCACTCTAGAGGGTCAAAGGGTCAACGTCTTTACTGCTTGTTGTTGTAGCTGCAGTCTTTGTTGTTGTTGTTGCTGGTGTGGTGGTGGTGTGTAGGAACCGTTGACTCTTCTAACTGCCAAAGCTCCCAGTTGTTCGTTTGAAAGTTGTTCTGATTCTTCTTATCTTTGTTCTTTCAGGCTTTCCGTTTCATGTCCCACAAGTTCCACGGGAAAGCGTCCGGGAAAATGAAGACTGAGAAAAGGATGAAGAAACAGCAGGATGAAATGGTAAGTTAAGAAAAAGTTAGTTTTCACCCCAAAATTGTGTGGCCGTTTCCATCTGTTATGCCACCATCGATTAAACTTAATTTCTTCGCTCTATGTAATGTTAGAACCACGTCTCAAATTGTACACCTTGAAAATTTACCTTGTACAGTTAGTTTGTGTTTTTTGTTCTCAATCACTCTAAACCTTTTGGCTCCCAGTGGTGATCGACAAGAAATTTCTCCCAATAATATCTATACAATGTCAAGCTAACAAGTGATGAGAAGAAAGTAGAATATAAAAAAGAGGGTACTGTTTGATTTAATGTCAAATTCACAGAGCTAAAACTATGAGAAATGAACGGCTGACGATGCAGAGGTTGGCTATTGAGTTCGCAATAGTAAAATCACTAATCATGTTTACTTGATTCGTCCTTATTCGCTTTTTGATGTTTATCTTCCCTAACTAACTGTTATTTCACCCTTTACACCCTAACATCAGTATGCATATTCTCCATACTGTTCTCTATACATTTCCGAAGGTGCTGACAAGGAGAATTTGTTCAACAATCAAGAGCTTCTGTAGTCGTTGATTATTTTCGTTTTCCTCATGATTGTAATGTTTGATTCAGGGGTGATACTGTAAGAAGAAATTAGATACTAGTCACTCTTAGGGGTTACGAGGTTAATAGTCTTCCATTTATGAACAATTTCCAATGACCCCGATTAAGTTCCAGGCTCGTTAAGATATTTGAAGCTTGGACGCGTGTGATACTTGAGCAAATTATCTGAACCAGTCTTTTAAGAAATATATGCGAAACGTTGATGAGAATTTACACTCTCATCTTTGGACAGAAACACTAATGCTTCTTGTTGCGGTTCATGTTTTCAGGCGCTTCAGAAGATGAACTCTGGAGACACGCCACTCAACACCGCAGCGCTTCTGATAGAGAAACAGAAAAATGCTCAGTCGCCTTTCGTTATTCTAAGTGGCGGAGGACAAACTTTCTCTACCGGGTGGGTAACAGTTTATTTGTAACACAATTGAGGAGAGTGAGGAGATGGTTGGGCAAGCTCCGGTGATGTAATCACAGCAGGGAGAAGAAGAATCGAATATTTCAGTGAGCTTCGGCTAGTCTTTTTTTGCGACGTTCAAAATCGCCTGCAGCACGAGAGAAAAATCTAAATAGTGTATTAGCAAGGTAGAAGAACAGGGCCTTGTTGTTGGAATGGCAGATAACGTTATCCAACTGATAAGTGTGAACGGAACTTGCTACACTATCCACCGGTTAGAGACTTATCCAGTGCACAGCGTTATTCACCCTTCAAACAACCGGGGGCAAGAAGGAGACTAGGGTGAGGCAGGCGTAGGCGTAACTATGGGGACCACCCAGGCTTTGAGAGAATGGGTGTAACTAATTCCTCTGCACAGAACCTTGTCACGAGTTACGCAGCGCGGCACGTTGTGGCTCGCATTATTTGTATTTCCTCTTCACACCGCGCATTTATCCAGTTGTAAAGATGATCATCAGTCAATTTATGGCAGTCATATCTCCGGCGACCTAATTCACTTGCAGAAATGTTCCACATGCGTTGATTTTTTTATGGAATTTTTGGAGCAACTCATAGATTGCTGAGTTGAATTGATCATTCAGTAACCAATCGCCGCAAATTTTCTCTACGTTTTTAAGACCCTGATGTCACCTTCCCCAACTCGTAGGTAGCTCCTTCCCTCTCAGTGGGTGCTTTTGGTGTGATTACGATTCAATAGTTTATCTTAGAACCCGACGAAAACCTGCATCGAGGAATTTCCGCCCCACAATGTGCTGAGGGAGCAAAGAAAACGAACAGTAGGGCGCGTGAAGGAGTCTTTGATGTCGATTAATTTCGTGCCATTTCGCAGGCGACGTAGTTATTCATTTCGTTCAACTAAATGCACTTAGAAAAGTAGATTTCTCTTCAGTTAAAAGGTTGCAATTGTGTTCGAAATCTAAGGCTTACATTGGCTATAAGAAATAGTCTCGGTCTTTCGACTCTCTCTAAAGGCTGTTCTTCCTGAAAAAACACAACGTAGATTGAGATGGCAATTTTGATTGTGTAGTGGCATGCCCAACGAACTGCAAACCTCTCGCGATTATCAGCAATAACAGCATGATAGATTGCCCACAATGCGATTATCTCAGGCGAAGAAAGCTTCCCCACTATGTCGACTGGCAATTTAGCAACTGCAGTGGTTTATGGGAAGGTCTGGCGTATTCATATTTGTGCAACAGCGAAAAAATATTGCGGTATCAAACTCTGCTGGTCTAGTATTATCTTAGTGAATTTGCTTAAGAGAAATTTTCCAGACGGCTTAAAAACTTTGTTGCGTGCTAAACTTACTCAGAACCTGTTGTGCGACCCGTGATGTACAACCTTGTTTTAATCGGTTTGTTCTTTTTTTTTTTTTCTTTTTTTTTTCTTTTTTTGCAATTCCCTGCAGGACCACAATCTCCAAACGGAAGTAAGCATAACCGCAAGAATATCTTTTAGAGTTTTAGTAATCACCCACAGGAAATATGGTGGTCTGCACGTGCATTACACTCAAAGACGCTAGAACTCGCCACAATCTTCATAGAAAGACGCAGATCACGTGGGTATCAGTGGCAGTTATGTAGCATGATGAAACGGAACTGTTGTAGTAACGTAGGATCTAATAAAGGTTTGCTTAAATTTCCGTTGTCTTTTTGAAGCCTATACGATAATGAGTGATGCGCTGCGACTTTCAGAAATCCGAATGCCACTTTCAATCCCGATCTTGCAGTCTCTACTCCTTCAAGGGTACAGATAAGATTTTGAAGGGAAGGGGGGTGTTGACGGTTACAAATGTCCACATGCCTTATGTGGGGGAGGGGCAAAAACCATTATTGCACTATCTTGGTGCGTCTGTGTGTTCGTATTCACGTGGCAAGAAGGACCGGCAAATACAATATCTAGCTCCGAAAAAGATTCGCGTCACTCAGGTTTTTGGAACTTGGGGGTCCTGTCGTACTACCTCTTTCCTAACACGCTCAAACACACCGGCAACTTTGGTCACGGACTTCACACTAGACTTCCTTTTTTCATGATAAACAGAATTACTCTCTTTTCGTCCTCTTCGGAAAAGCACTGGTATGTTTGTTCTCTCTGCCCTGCGCTAAGCTCCAAAATTAATATTTCGCTCGTGATTCCAGCTTAACGAACGAAGTCGACCCCTTCCCTGTTTGCATTTAGGAAGTCTCATCGTTTCAGCTTTTCGATAAAAATGAAGTGAACGTCCAATTTCATCGTTTTTCCTTCCATTCCTTATTGCAAACTTCCTGGTTAGGTTAGAGAAATAGGAATCCTAAAAATTTGGGCGTGGATAGGTACAGGCCAATTTCGCACGAATTTTGCATTGAAAAAAATCTGATTAAGTCTTTCCTTTTTATTCTGAGGCGCCATCTTTAAGCTTCTCTTTTTACATTAAAACAATCATCGGCAACGATATCTGAAAGGTTGGTATCCGTGAGCCTGAAAGATCCGTCGACGATTAGACATTTGTTCCTGTTCCAACCGGAAGTAGGCATATTCTGCTGTCTCTATCATGGGCTTGGCACAAGGGAGCATCAAGTGTCATCTTCAAACAACAAAAACAAGTTCAGGCAAATGCCACATGATACGAAGAGGCCTTTTCCCCAGCATAATTGCCCAGGTCTAAAGAGTTGAGGGGAAAATTGATCTACTTGACATGAACACCGCCCATCTCCCACCCGATGTTGTACGGCTGCCTCTTACCTTGTTCGCTGACAGACTCAGCTGTGAAAGAAGAATTATTTTTCCGCCACTACTCAACTGGGCACACAAATTACAAAGTGCTGATATCTGGGTGTGTTGGCCAGCCAAGCCACGGTACCGTTCATTTAACACCAATATGCTTACAGAAGTTTATTACGATTGAAAGAAACTAAATGCACCAAAGCTGGACACGAAAACCCCTAAAAAACCAGCTGATGGAGAAAACGGGGAATGTGTACCTCAGTGGTGCCACCCTCGAGGTTTAAGGATATCCTAAGAATAACATGATAGACAAAAGCAGATAATAGTTACTTGGGGAAGTATGCGAATGCAGCTTTAGTAAAACCTCATGTCAAAATGACAATATTTCAGAAAAAAAAAACTAAATAAATTTAAACGAAAACGAAAGTTAACACAGCGAAGGCTGACCGTAGATAACGCTTTCAAATTACAAACTACGATCCCATAACTCTCCGTGCCCCTCCCAATTGCCTCCAGTCCTCTGATACGTACCGGAAAAATATTAATTTATGCTAATTGAGATTATGACAAATCACACTTTACTATGGTGCACTTAAATGCCAGTTTAAGATCCAGTAAAGGACTCCCCCCCCCCCTTATCCTACTGGGAACTTTTGTCCACGCCTCTATTTCGAGTCGTGTGAAGATCTGCGGTTACTTATCGGCGTAAAATCACACGTAGGCCAAGCTTTGCGTAGGTGGTCTGGGCGCCGTCACAGCTTCTTTAGGGATCTTACTCAATTTCTGATAATTTTTTGTTGAAATTCTCTGCTCAGTTCTTTGTCGTGAGGTATGCCTTCGTTTATTTTCATCTTTAACTCATTGCATGTTTAACCCTTAAAATCTCAAGTCAGAATTTTGCCATACAATATCATTACAATATCAAGCAGGGAAATGTTGAAAATAGAGGAAAATATAAATTAAGGGATTTTTAGTTGATCGAATGCAAAATTATCTGAATTGAAAACGTGAGAATTGTATGGGAAACAGTAAGGAGAATCACTATTACGATCTCGATGATTTGTCAATAAGAAAACTTACAACTAAGTTTAACAAGTTCGTCGTTTAGAATCTGTTTCCATGTTTGCGGTCCTTAACCATTTTCGTTCCCTTTTAGTTTGTTTTCACTTCTCTGGTATTTTGTCGACCCTGGCAAGTTATTTCCAGATTGTTATCAGTTAATGACGCACGTATATGTAAGATAACTCGCGTATTCCTTAAAAAAAATTCTTTCGTTCGAATTTATTGTAGACACTAAATCTTTTTCTTTCAGGCATCTGAAAATCGGGTTTTGAAGCAAACCATTAAGTCAACTGCAATAAAATATCTTTCAATAATCCAGGAGTGCTTTTGACGTCATATTAATTGAAAATTGATCTCGAAATTTTGACGTCATGTAGCTAAGCCGGTAAACGTAGATCAGGCGAATATGCAAAGTCTATAACTTCCCGTGTAAATATTAGGGGAAGAGGGGGCGGAAAATACGAAAAAGCGAATTTCTGTCAAAACTTCCTGTCGACGTAAATTTTTTAAAAAACTGAGATCACAAATTGTGGACTTTACTTAGTTTTTGCTCCTTATGCTCACACGCTTAAAATCCCATGTTTTGCACCGGAAATCAATTCTAATTTCTCAGCATCATTTTGTTTAGATGTACAAACTCGTGAGCCTCCAATAACCTTCTGGAATGAGGACCAGGTGAATATGCAAAGCTTTATGGCTTCCCGTGTAAATATTTTGGGAAGGAGGGGGCGGGGGATTAACAGAAGCGAATTTCAGTCCAAACTTCCTATCAGGGACAGTTGTTTTAAAAATTGAGACCACACGAATCTTGCTCCTCGTCCTTACACCCTAAAAATTCCATGTATGCACCGGAAATTAATTACAATGTCACAACAGCGTTATGCTTAGATATACAAACTCGTGAGACAACGATAACTTCTGGAAAGAGTGTGGCGTGCATATTAATTACTGACTAGACTGGTCTTCCCGTAATTTGAACCATCGATCCACGTGTTTTAAGAGGTTGCTGTTAGCTCTGCAAAATGTTTACTGTTATTGCCTTTGAGCTTTCGCGCGCGTGAATTTACGCAAATATTCCTTCGCTGATGTTTAAATCCTATGCTTGCTTCGCTACATGATGCTTATTTGTTCCACTTTAATCTTGTTTTTATTGCGTTATTGATGTATCAATTTGCGCTGCGAAGTAAAAGATTGATGAAACACGACCTCGCGTCGTAAACAAGCCATCAGATTGTAATTGGATATTCTGAAAGTGTCAAACCGGTAAATTTAGAATTATCCAACGGTCACAGAGCATTTTCGCGCAGAATAGAAGCTACGAGATCCAGCGAAGTTTTCCTTGGCTTCGCTAACTCGGACAGCAGACAGACCGAAAACCATTCCACGTTTGGCATTTTGTAACTCGCAAAGAATCAGCTGCCCTGGTGCAAAAATATTTAGGCTATTTTCGACCAGAAATTTGAATTTACCACAGTTTCAAGCCATGTGAGTATATTACCGTTTTATTCGCTTATTTTTTCCAAAACCCTTCTTTCATTTAACTGCTAACTAAACGAATAGGGTAGTATAGTGGATTTTCTTGCTGGGAAGTCTCAAATCAACTGAACGTTAATTGAATTTATAAACAATTCAAATATTTGTTTCATCCGAATTATACCAAAGATACGAATTTGATTTTTTAATTCGAAACGGGAACAGATGTGAGCTGCCAAATTGTGTCCTGGAATATTATCAAAATAATCTTCTCCGAGCAGAAATTGCCTAACTGATCACTAAAACCCTCCGACAAGAATGCCTTACAAAACTTCAGTTGTTGTCCAACGATAAATAGAGTTATCAACAGTTCTCCATTTGTGGAGCTAGGGAGAGGGCATGGGGCCGAGATGGCAAGGGCAAACCATTTGGTACTTGTAGTCAAAACATCATATTATGTACTGAAAATACTTTCCGTCTTTCCATCATAAAGAAAGACGGAAAAAACCGCTTTTATTGATGCCTCGCCGAGGTCATATTGTGCTCTTGAGTTGCCGCTTAACTTAATTATGATTTCCCTTAAAATTTTTCCTCATCAATTTACCATGCCATAGCTAGCGAAATTCATGTAATTTTTTTTTCAAATGCTGTAACAAAGAGATCTCGTGAGTTTTCGTTGAATAAAATTAATCGACCACACACACTGAACTATATCGTAACTAAGCAAACGCAAGCGACGGTGCAAGTGATCGAGGTCTATTTTCTCTTAAAGGTAATTAAAGTCTTTTACGAGAAAAAAGAAAGTATTCTCAACTTGTAATCATATTTGTCTTTTCTCGGTCCCTAGATTTCAAAGAATTTAACAGAAACACAAAATTTTAAATATTTTCGTTTATTCACACAAATAAATTTTATATATCTAACACCTTCATTATTTGCGGTGAAACGGTAGTCGACTGCGTGGAATTCTGAGGAGGCAATAGCACCTTTATGCACCCCTTTCATTGTAAAGCACAAATTAGTACTTAGGTTAAGAACCTGTGAAGTTTTCCACGAAGTTTACCAAACACTGGCCAATCACTGCTACCAAACTTTCAAGCAATTTGGCTAAGAGATTTATGTTTCTTTTATTTTTCAGCTTTTAAAACTACAAAGCTACAAATGGCAAGCAATTGCAGGCTGTTTCTCATCATGTACTTGGTATCCCTGTGCTTACTGCCCAGTTTACTGGCAAACCCAATGAAAGCGGCGTTAGCCAGCGTTCACTGCGAGCGCAAAGGCTACACGTTCCCTGTCAGAGTCGTGGGCTGCCAGGAGCGAATGGTAACTGTCAATACATGTATAGGAACCTGCTTGTCTTTCTCGACGCCAACTGGATCCAACTATGAGCAAGTGGAATCCTGC